ATATTAGGAGCAAATATGTAACTTTTAGTACATTGAAGGCCAGTCAGTGTTAGAATTGGTATATAAAGAGTATTTTGATATAGGGATCCATTTCTTTGGTATTATTAAACTTGTGATGAGTTTCCTTCAATCGATTGATTATTTTTATGATAATATGATAGAGACATGAGTTCAGAGGAATCATTCAGTTCTTGTGTTGAAGTCAATGGTTGGTCCGTTTGGTACGAAAAGTTTGGTTCAGGACCGAGGCCTGTGCTGCTAATTCCCGGTGCTACCGGTAATTAGATTAGATATTTTATTGTGATACTGTACTACTAGTGTACTTCTAGTGAATACTATTAATATTGTAATAATTTAGGGACTGGAAGAAGCGACTTTCAACATCAACTGGAAGGTGACAATGCCCTGGACTTTGACATGTTTACCATAATTGCGGTGGAGCTCCCGGGTTGGGGTCGGTCGAGACCACCCGTCAGAAAGTATGGGACAGGGGTTTATGAAAACGATGCTCAATGTCTCTATGAATTAATGAAGGTGCGACTATTTGTTAGAAGTGAAGTGTTTTAGTTGACATTTGTATATCTGTGATAGGAATTAGGCTTCAATAAGTACTCCATACTAAGCTGGTCTGATGGCACAAAAGTAGCACTACTTATGGCAACCCTTTATCCACAGTCCGTTGAATCCTTGATCTTGACTTCAGTTTACACTTATATAACAAACGAGAGCTTAAAGCAATTGTTGTCTTCACAAAACGTTGACAATTGGCATAAAGACAAACTCGAGTCTTATATGAAAAGTTATGGCAAGAAAGAAGTGATCCAACAGTTATGGACCAGATTTATAAAATTTGCCGAATATTACAACCAATACTTTCCTGAAAATAAAAACAATTATCATTTGATTAAATGTCGAGTTCTTATAATTCATGGCGAAAAGGTATGTCAACGCAATTGACTTACTTTTATGGGTACTATACATTTTAATATTGCTTCAAATCCTATTAATTAAATCCAATTACAAAGAAAAATATTATTAATTTATAAATACTTAAAACTTTCTTAAAGGACAAAATGTGTGAATTGTCTCAGATTACAAAATTAAAGCAAACCATTAGCCGGTCGTCTATCTATCGATTTCCAAACGGTGAACACAACTGTCACCAGAAATATGCGACAATATTCAAGGATGTGGTCGAGGATTATCTGATGGGACGACTCAAAGACCTGGAGGAAGATGTGGATCCAAACCAAGCCCAATGTGGGCCCCAGATGTGGACCCAATGATGACATGATTCATATGAAGTTTACCTCATAAGTTGGGACAAGGATTGGTTAAGTTGACACATTTTATTAAATGTATAAATGTCCACATTTATTTAGAATTTCACTTGATTACAGACAAATTTTTGCTAATATTAGTTTTTATACTTTTATTGTAAAATATATAGTATTAAATATGATTGGTTTTAAACTATAATTATGAAATCTAAAGTGAATGTGTATTTGCCGCAATGTGTAATTTTTTCTATAAATAATTTCTTATTCAAAATGAAAATATTTAAATGATTTCTGTGAAATCAAATGTAATAAAATAAGGTCATCAGTAAGCCTTTAAGTGTTTAAATGTTTCTATTTCTCTGTAATCCTAAAATTCGTAAAAAACAAATGTAGTTTTATATGTTTTCTTAAGTTTAATTCAAATATTATTAGCTTAATTTGTTTATTAATAATAAAATTGTCACTAATAATTTGGATTTTATTAGTTTTAATACAAATAATAAAGATAAAAGCCGTGATATAAATTATTTTAAGAATTTCTTTTCATTTTAGACCTTAATGTTTAGATTGAACCTTAGATTGGACCTTGATAGTAATTGGATTTACCACATGAATTTGAGTTTCAGTACTAATCACTAACTTTTAGAGTGAGACAATCGTAAAAAGTTTATTAAAATATAATATTATTTAAGTTGTAAAAACATCAAATTAAGTGTAATCTCCACAAACATCCTGGTCAAATCAGGTATAAAAAGTGATTTTTTAAATGTTTAATAAATACAAATCTATCTACTTTATTAAATTACAGTATCTTTAATAACACTTATGTGTTTAAATATTACGGTATAAATTTATCAATAATTTTAATGTAATATTTAAAATTTACAAAAATAATATTAGTTAATGTATTGAACATAATTTAAATTTTAAATTATATTTCGTATTTTAATATAAGATACAGTATTCGTATAAATTTTATTTCATTATTGTTCACATAATGTTACAATAGTACATCAAAAAATTATATTTTCTATTAGTTTGTATTCATTTGAATAACATTTAATAAGTTTGAAAGACTTCCTTTAATTTGGTAAACATAATAGAAATGAATGCAAAACTTGTTTGATTTTTCTGTATTTCTTTTGTAAATTCCCAGAATTTTGTATTTAAAATGACCGCATTTGAGCACACCTGTATTATTTAATATAATTATATACAGGTATATGACCAGAACTCTCAGACTCTTACAAAAGTTAGGCTTAAATCATTTGATCAAAATCTAATCACTCATCTGACGTTTCAAACTACGGTCTTAAGTATTAATATTATATTTCTATTTATAATATTTGAAACAAAGACTCCGAGCACTGAATTGGCCCATAATAAAGTTTTTTAGTTAAATAGTTTGTTATTATTGATTAGTTTTATAAAACATTTATAAAAGTTTTAGTTTTTAAACTTTATTGTAAGCCAAGTAACAAAATTTGTCAATATTTTCTATTGGACAAAATCTAACTGATGGGAAATTACTTTTACAATTATATTAAACATATTAATCAATGTTTCGCATTTCACATCATTGACTCTGTATTTAAATTGTGATTTAATTGAAACTTTTAATTATAATTTTATAAATTTGTCGTGTTTTCTGAAAATAAGTGTTTCAATATATTTGTCTTATTACTTATTTGATTGGAAATATCGGTATGTTTCTTATTTAATTTATAATAATAATAGAAAATTATTTATATTACTTTAAATTATAAAATTATATTTTTTTATCGATAACATTAAACTTTCAATTTTGTTTTACTTTTGGACATTAATAAAATTTTCAATTTAAAAATCATTATCATATATTTCTCTATGATATGTAGAATTCGCAATATAATAAACGATTAAGTTTTAATAATTGTTTTATGAGTTAATATTCAAAAATAAACCATTTTTATTAAACAAATTTGGAAAAGTCTAAAATAAATTCTTATCACAGGGTATTTAGGAAATGCATTATCAATTGATAAAATATACTTTTAATTAAGATATAATACAGTACATATAAACCTAATAATTGTAATGATATATGAATTACAATATAAACTATACAAATTGTTTTGTTGACAAAGTTTCCCTAAACATTTACGAAAACAAATTAGAATTTATAATTTTCCATTATTTTTAAGTTACAAGGCAATATTAATACAGTATCTGAAAAATTACTCACATCACTAGCCACTCAGTTGTATATTACAAGTGGAAAAAAGTAATCACACATTACTCTCGTCTGATCTATAATTATATGTAATTTTCTGTGACATTGAAGGCCAATCAGTACTCAAATTGGTATATAAATAGTATTATGATATAGGGATCAATTTCTTGGAAATTATTTTTAAGTGTTTTGTTATCTCTTATTTAATGTAAGAGATATGAGTGACGAGGAATCCTTCAGTTCATCAGTTTCTGTCAATGGTTGGTCCGTTTGGTACGAAAAGTTTGGTTCCGGACCCAAACCATTGCTACTAATTCCCGGTGCTATCGGTAATTGTATAGATAATTATGTTTACTATGAGTATTATAATAGAAATTATTAAATTAGGGACAGGGAGAACCGACTTTTATCATCAACTTGAAGGGGATAATGTTTTGGACTTTGATTTGGTTACCATAATCGCGGTGGAGCTTCCGGGTTGGGGTCGGTCGAGACCACCCGTCAGAAAGTATGGGACAGGGGTTTATGACAACGACGCCCAATGTCTCTATGAACTGATGAAGGTTTGGTTACCATTTTAATTAGCAATAAATATATGAATTAATTTTTTTTATTTTGTTAGGAATTAGGTTTTGATAAGTACTCCATACTAAGCTGGTCTGATGGCGCAAAAGTAGCACTACTTATGGCGACCCTTTACCCAGAGTCCATCGAATCCGTGATCTTGACTTCAGTTTACACTTATATATCAAACGAAAGCTTAAAGCTATTGCTGTCTTCTCAAAGTGTTGACAATTGGCATAAAGACAAACTCGAGTCTTATATAAAAAGTTATGGCAAGAAAGAAGTGATCCAACAGTTATGGACCAAATTTATAAAGTTTGCCGAATATTACAACCAATATTTTCCTGAAAGCAAAAACAATTATCATTTGATTAAATGTCGAGTTCTTATAGTTTATGGCGAAAAGGTATGTTATAATATAAATTAGTATTATAACATAACATGTATATAATACAGTATTTATTCCGAAAATAATACTACTTACTTTTACAATATTGAATAGTACAGTAATATATAACTAGAAATTATAAAGTTTATTAATTGATATAAATTAAAATTTTCTTAAAGGACAAAATGTGTGAATTGTCTCAGATTACAAAATTAAAGAAAACCATTAAAAGGTCGATAATATATCGCTTTCCAAACGGTGAACACAACTGTCACCAGAAATACTCGACAATCTTCAAGGATGTGGTCGAGGATTATCTGATGGGACGTCTCAAAGAGGAAGAAGACAAAGATCCCAACAGTGGACCCAATGATGGCTTGGAATATATGAGATATAAGTGACTTGATGCAAACAATTTCTATAATGATTGATTATTTCGTAATTAATAGATTGCTATTGTTATTGACAATTGAATTATAATAATTACATTTAATTATAACTAATCAATGCCTTATTGTATAATACAAACGAAACAATATTTAACAGGAAATTCATTCTTATAAATGTGTAGACTTTGCAGTTTCAGTGAAACTTAATATATGGAAATTATTTTCACAACTATTTTTATGAGACTTATGTTAAAAAAGTAAAAATTATTGCCATTTTCTTTCAAAAGGAAAAGTAAAATACAATTCCCAATGTCAACAATAGTTAAATAAAAGTGTTTTACATAAATATTTGTGTTAATTTAATTAAAACTGAATCCATTAAACAATAATTATGAGCACCAACGGCAAGGTGGACATAAATGGATGGCCCATTTGTTACGAAAAATTTGGCACCGGTGCTCACATTATGCTATTAATTCCTGGCGCTATAGGTATGCATATAATTTTAATATAAATATTTAACTATTAATAATAGTCACAATTATAAATTATAACTGAATGGTAGGGACGGGTCGGACAGATTTTAATGACTTATTATTTGGTGAAAATGCGCTGAATATGAATGCGTTGACAATAGTGGCGGTAGAGCTGCCGGGTTGGGGCCGATCCCGGCCTCCCATCAGACAAATCGGACGCAATGTGTTTAAGAACGACGCCGAGTGTTGTGTCCAACTAATGGAGGTTTCATTTGACACACAGTTTATGCATAAATTAGTTTTGAATTTTAGAAATAATTATATTTTTCTAGTCATTGGGTTATAACAAGTTCTCTGTGTTGGGCTGGTCTGAGGGGTCGAGAGTGGCACTGGTATTGTCGGCCAATTACCCCGACTCAGTGACAGATATGATTGTTATGTCTCTACCAGTATTTCCTACGGA